AAAAAAAAAAAGTCCATGCTCAATAATCCAGGTATACAATCCAACAATTTTCAGTCAGGTCATCTGGACAGTTTTTTTTTTTTTTTTAGCTTTGCTTTTCAGCAAATAAAAGAAACTGTCCAGTTGACCTGACTGAAAATTGTTGGATTGTATACCTGAATTTTTGAGCATGGACTTTTTTTGGTTTTGAACCAGTTTGACATGACTGTCGATGAGGAAAAGGGCTGGCACAAGAGGAGGGGGCGTGCCAAAGAGACCATCTTAGCACTTGGGACTGCTGGGGCTGTGGAACCCAACCGTCTGGGCGTTGAGCCTTTGGGCGGTGGCTGCTGAGGAGCAGCTGTGGTGGAGTGGCTGGTAGGTCTGGAGACTGGGCGTCGGCCTTTGGATTTGGTTCGTGGGGCTGCTGTTTGCCGGGACGTGTGGGATCCGCGTGAGTGCTGGGAGCGGATGAACCAGTGAGGATCCTGCGGGTCGCTGGGCTGCAGGAGCCGGTCTTCGTCCGTCGGATTTGGGGGCTGCGGTGTTGCAGCGGAGGTCTTGGGACTCTCTGCGTTGTGACCAGGTCTCGGATTTGGCTGAAGGTTTGTGGAGATACTGCCATCGGGCAGAACGTTTGTCTTAAGAAATGTCAAGTAAATCCAAACAAAAAAAAACAAGAGCAGCTTGATCATAGTTTGGATGACATGGAGGATGACATGGAGGAAATTAAAAAATCCTTGAACTTCATGAGTTCTGAATTAGTGAAACTTACATCACAACAGGAACTCCTGATGGGTTTGTTCGAGGAGGTTAAAAAATTGAAATTGCAAATAGGAATTAAAGATAAAAAAATAATGGATCTGGAACAAAAGATTGATGACTTGGAACAGAACACAAGACAAGATAACCTTGTTATAACGGGACTGGAAGTAAAGACTCGGTCATATGCAAAAGTGTCTGCTGGTGTAAAAACAAGAGAAGATGCATCACAACAAGAGCTACAGACTCTGGAGGAGCAGGTGGGGGATTTTTTACAGGACAGGGATATTGATATTGATCACAATGATATTTCAATGTGTCACACCCTGCCCAGCAAAACAGAAAAAAATAAACCAATAATTGTTGTAAGATTTATTAGCAGAAAAACAAGAAATGTAATGGTACAGGCTAGAAAACTGAAGGGAACAAAAGTTTATATAAATGAACATCTAACAAAGAAAAATGGCAATATTGCTCGTGAAGCAAGGTTGTTAAAAAAACAGAACAAAATAGTATCAACATGGACAAGAAATGGAAAAGTTTGGATTAAAGTACAGGAAGGTTCACAAGCTAAAATAATACAAGAGCTAAAGGATTTGGAAAGATTTAGATGAGCTTAGGAGATGATGATATATTGTATTATGAAATATTTTGTACATAAAATCGACAAAACGAACACCCTGATGAAAAAATACATTGAATCATGACGAGGTACGATGAATCAGAATTTAAAATATATATTGTAGAAGATGTTATTGATAGAAATCTTTTTCCAGTTGTAAAAGGTAGTGAATATTATAACGTAGAACAGTTCAACAAAATTAATATGGCAAATGGAGCACTCTCTATAATTCATTTAAATTGTAGAAGCATTGATGCAAATATATCTAAGATATCAGATTACTTAAAAATGTAATAACACTTTTACAATAGTAGCACTCTCAGAAACATGGCTAAATGATGGAAACATAAATAATGCTTATATTGAAGGGTAGGAATTATTTCACATGAATAGGAAAAATAAAAAAGGTGGAGGAGTGGCTCTGTTTGTCAAATGTGGAATAAAGTGTAGATTGAATAGTGAAATGTCAATAATTGTTGACAATATAATGGAAATGATAACAATAGAAATAATAAATAAGAATAATAAAAACATAATAAGTTGTGTATATCGATCACCTGGATCAAAAATAGAGTCATTCACAGACAAAGTCATGGAATTATTGGTTAAGAGTTGTAATAAAAAAGTTTTTTTGTGTGGAGATTTTAATATAGATCTAGGGAATATAACTGATTCATATAACATCGGTACATTTATGGATTCAATGTATAGTTTGAGTTTTTTCCCGTTGATATCAAATCCAACGAGAATCACAACACATAGTGCTACAGTAATAGATCATATTTTTATAAATATCACAGATGGTGATGTGATAGGTGGTATTCTGATGACTGATTTAAGTGATCATTTACCAGTTTTTACAATTTACAAAAATGATGAAATTTATATAAAACCAATTATAAGAAAGAATAAAATAATAAACACATCCAAAAAAGCATTAGACAAATTTAAAGATGATTTATATAAACAAAATTGGGAAGATGTGTATGTTGATGATGTGAACAAATCTTATGATAAGTTTATGAATATTCTAGATGTTTTGTATAAAAAAAATTGTGTGCAAAATAATTATATAAAGAAAGATATTGTTGATCAACCGTGGATTACGAAAGGATTGAGAAATGCATGTAAAAAAAAGAATTATCTGTATTCATGTTTCTTGAAATCCAGAACACGAGGCAGAAAATAAATATAAAAAGTACAAAAATAAATTAGTTGGGATCATGAGAAAACAAAAGAGGGAATATTATAGTGAGTTATTACATAAAAGTAGTGGTGATATGAAGGCAACATGGCGAGTAATGAACAGTGCTCTGAAAAAACGTAAGGTTAGTACGAGTCTTTCTCAATATTTTGTGGAAAATAATGTGGAAATCCATGATGAAAATGAAATCGTAAATGGATTTAATAATTACTTTTTAAATGTTGGATCTAACATTGCAAATTCAATACCAAAAGTGGATAAAAATGTGAGTTATTTAATCAGTGATTGTGTAAACAGTATCCAAAAAAGTTCAGTCTGGTCCTCTGGACATTCAAAAAAACAAAAAACAAAACAAAGCAAAAAAATCTAGAAACGTTTCGTCTCTCATCCAAGAGACTCCCTCAGTCTGAGGTGCTGTATTCAGCTCAGTCTCTTAAATAGCACCTTCTCAGAGTGGATCAACCAGTTTGCTGCTGACAACCAAAACCAGCTGATCACATGCTCAAGAAGGACCATCAGCCTAACAATGGATCATTAGCACCTGATGGCTGTTTACTATTCACAGAGGGCTGAGTGTAAACAGTATGTTTCTAAAGGGAACTGACAAAGAAGAAATAATGAAGGTAGTTAAAAAATTTACTGACAAAAGATCAAAAGACTGTGAAGACATGGATATGATGGTTGTATAAGAAATAGTAAGTCATGTTATTGAGCCATTTACATATATATGTAATTTGTTATTTTCAACAGGAATATTCCCAGACAGAATGAAAATAGTAGCTAAGGTAGTTCCTCTTTTTAAACATGGTGACAAATGTGTATTTAACAACTACAGACCTATATCTTTGTTGCCACAATTCTCAAAAATTCTAGAAAAACTATTTGTGACCAGACTTGACCTATTTCTTGATAAAAATAATATTTTAAGTAATAGTCAGTATGGATTCAGATCAAAAAATTCAACATCCATGGCTCTTATGGAGTTGATGGAACAAGTTACTACAGCTATAGATCAAAAACAACATTGTATAAGTATATTTGTGGATTTAAAAAAAGCATTTGACACAATTGACCACACCATTCTGATTAATAAATTAAAAAAATATGGTATTAGAGGACCAGCTTTGCAGTGGATATGTAGTTATGTAAAGACAGAAAACAGTTTGTACAAATAGACGATGTAAGATCAAACCTAAACAGTAAGGGACTTATTGAATGATAAAGCCTTGTATTTGCTGTATAATACAATTATAGTCCCACATTTAATTTATTGTGTTGATGTTTGGGGAACAGCATGTAAAACTATAACGATGCCTATTTTTATTTTGCAGAAAAGAGCTGTAAGAATTATCACAAGAAAGCATTATTGTCATCCATCTAGTATTTTATTTTTTCAATTGAAATTACTGAAGTTTTATGATTTGGTTAACTATAATATTCTTTTAGTACTGTATAAAGCTCAGAACTACACACTACCTTCAAACATTCAAACGTATTTTGTAAAAAGGAAAAGTTGCTATAATCTGAAGGGAACAGACATTTTTGTTAAACCACAGTACAGAACCAGTTTAAAGGGGCGGTCTACTTCAATTCAGGGAATAGGTCTGTGGAATAGTTTGGAAAACGATGTAAAAAAAGTAAGGCCATTGCCTATATTTAAGAAAATGATTAAGATTAAAATTTTGGAAAGATACATATAAATACGTAAAATTGTGATGAGTTAAATATTTTGTTATATTACTTATAGATGATTATTGTTTGAATTGATTGTTTGAATTGATTTTGTTTTAAACAAGGGGCAGATATGATAAGATTTTTTCTTCTTCTGCCACCTTTCATTTCATGACGTGTTTTTTTTTCTCATTTGGTTTCTAAATTGTTTTTGTGTTTTAAATATGAAATGAATAAAAATGACAAACAAACAAACAAACCAACATAACTGGTTTGTTCCACTTTGGAGTAAGCTATTTAGGGGAAGAATCAGTTTTGTGTTGTGTGTTTCCTTGACTGATGAAGCCTTCTGGATGGAAGATGAAATGTTTCAGCCAAAAAAAAAGAAACTGTCCAGATGACCTGACTGAAAATTGTTGGGCTAAGACACACTTGTTTAATATTCATGCTAACTAGCAACTTGATATGCCACATCTGTGAGGTGGATGTATTATCTCAGCAAAGGAGGTGCTCACTAACACACATTCACATAACTTTGTGAACATTGAGAGAAATACACGTAGTGTGTACATAGAAAAAGTCTTAGATCTTTGAGTTCATCTCATGAAAAGTGGGAACAAAAAAAAGTATTGCGTATATATTTTTCTTGAGTGTAGTTCAGAAGAAGCTTCCAGACAAACAAGTTACACCTGATATTCTTTAGCTGAATTCCTTTTTGGAAACAAATCTTGATCAATAATGTATGGTGTGTCATACCTGTAGTGATCAAACTGGATGGCTCCACCCCTGTGCGTTACGGTTTGAGGTTGAACATGGATGAGAAGTACACCGGATTGAAGAAACAATTGAGCGAACTGTGCAGCCTGAAGCCTGAACAGATCCTCCTGGCTGAGGTTCATGCTTCTAACATCAAGGTAAGCACACACTTCTACATGCTATTGCTGAAATATAATGTCTCCTTTGTCTTTTTATTATACTTCTTCCCTGCAGTATTATATTCTTTATCAGCATCACAAACATTATAACAGAAGGAAGACAGGAGAAGATGAGTCGGAGTGAAGGCAAAACACATGTATAGTCAAATATAGGCCTATATTGTAAATTGTGTGTGTGGGTGGTGGTGGGGTTCTAACACTTCTTATCCAAGTCAAACTGACTTGTCAGGTTCAAAAGTTGACTATGTTTAATTTGCATATGGTTATCAGTGATTCAGAAATACATAATTTGCAGTGTTGTGCAAGTTCTATCTTACCAAGATCTATCTTTAAAATACAGTAGTCCCTTGCTACTTCATGATTCGTTTATTGCGGATTTGCTCTATCACATTTTTTCAAAATAAGATTGGACATGACACACAGTTGGCTGATTGATGGATGAGCCACACAATCGGCAAGGGATTTTTATTTAAAATAAATTATTTTAAATTATTTTGCACCTGCTGCACCTCTGTGCAGCCCACACTGCAGGATAAGCTTCCTCCTGCTGCTGATTAGCTGTTTTCTGTGCAGAGCGGAGAAATGGGCGTGGCCAAGGACGCTTGCAGGTGGCTGAGTGCAGCGGAGGCAGAGAGGGGGAAATGATGACATTCTGTGCTCTTTTAGAGTGTTTAGAGTTTTGAAACATTGTTTAGAATATTTCAATAGTGTGGGAAAGGTTTAAAACACCCTTATAACATTAACACCTTACAAGCACCCTGCAGATGTTGGATGCTGTCTATCATGGTGCACTAAGATTCATAACTGGCTGTGATTATCGTACCCACCACTGCACTCAGTATTCACTGGTTAACTGGTCACCATTAACTTCACACAGACTCTCTCACTGGTACATTTTCATCTTTAAATCACTTCTTGGTCTGCTGCCTTCATACATCTCCTCCTACATGTCTCTGTGTGAGTGCAGCTACAGCGTGCGCTCTCAGGACATTATTACCTGCAGTGTTCCCTCACTGCGGACTGAACTTGGCAAACGGACCTTCTCCTATTCCGCTCCTGTTTCCTGGAATATCTTGTAAATAGACCTGAAGCTCTTGACCTTGACCTTTTTAAGTGGCTTTAAGAATCTGTTGGACTCCTGGCAGGGACCATTGCAGACATGTTTCTCTTTTATTACTTTTCTACAATCGCCTTATAAATGTTAAATGGACTGTACTTATATAGCGCCTTTCTATCTTATTGAGATACTCAAAGCGCTTTACAACAATCTGTGTCCTTGTTTATCCATTCATACAGCACTCTATTATATCTCTTCAAAGCTAATTGAACAAATCATTCTAAAGAGACTAATCCGAGCTTTAGATCACATTCATACACTGCTGGGACTCACATCAGAGGCAGTGAGGGGTTCAGTGTCTTGCCTAGGGACACTTCGGCATGTGACTGCTGGTGGTTTCGAACCCCCAACTCTTGTATTGGAGGACGACTGCTCTAACCACTCAGCCACAGCCGCACCATAATTATTATTATTATTATAATCTAGCTGTTTTTGTTACTTTTTTGGCCATCTTACTTGTATATATATATATATATATATATATATATATATATATATATATATAT